GAAAGCAAGTGGACATTTGAAGGAGTCTTCAACTTACAAGGTGTACCTACATGAACAGAGAAAGCAAGTGGACATTTGAAGGAGTCTTCAACTTACAAGGTGTACCTACATGAACACAGAAAGCAAGTGGACATTTGAAGGAGTCTTCAACTTACAAGGTGTACCTACATGAACAGAGAAAGCAAGTGGACATTTGAAGGAGTCTTCAACTTACAAGGTGTACCTACATGAACAGAGAAAGCAAAGTGGACATTTGAAGGAGTCTTCAACTTACAAGGTGTACCTACATGAACAGAGAAAGCAAGTGGACATTTCTTTCTTGTTCCTCTTCTTCTTTTTTTTTAATAAGACAAACATTAAGTTCTTTTGACAATAAAAATAACAATGATTTTAATGTTTGGTCACATCGTTGATATAGCGGCCAAAATAATATCCGTAGCCAAAAATACACTTTATTAGTATTGAACTACAATCTTTTATATTTTATTTAAAATACCAAACAGCTTCAATGTATTTGAAACTGACTTGTTCCACTAAAACATGAACAATAAAGTATTTCAGTACTTTTTACGTTATTTTACAGTAGTTAGTTCTGCGAGTATGTTCAATATCATTTCCTCAATATATAAAAAATATCATTTAAAGATGTCATAGAAATACAGTACACATGCTCCTGATCTCGAGTTTGTTCAGTAACGTATTTTTTTCTTCTTTGTCACCTTCAATATAATACTACCACACAGATTTTACGACCTTTGCTCCACCAGATGACTTCTTTATGAATGACCTGTTTGGTGAAAGAGGATGTAAAAAACTGTCGATCATGATTCAGCCAATCAAAGAAGCCCTAGTGCACTTTTTCGTTTGTATTCTGGTCAAGATCCATAATCACTGCCCACTGACACAATTAACCAAAATAGGAAACTTTCCCCTCCCTTTTTAACCACCCTCTTGGTACGGAAGTTAAAAAAAACTATCTCGAATCGACTATAAAAGCAGCAGAACTTTCAAAATGGTATCATTGTTCATTGATTAGACTCGAACTCCTAAGTTCTCAGGTAGGCAAAACCCTTTATACATTTTCTCCTAGTTGTAAATCTTAAACTTTCTCTGCCTTAACACATTTTAAACGAAACTTCTGTTTGTTGAAGGAATAAAATTATGGCTGTCTGTCTTGGATAGTTCTAGAATAATCTGCATTTAGCATTCTTAACAGAAAGGAATATACAGCTAGTCGATATTTAGTATAAATTACAACACTCTATTTTCCTTTAGTAGACTACTGAAGTTTAAATAAATAAATTTAACGATTTATTAGTGTTTTTTTATAGTAAACGTTTCATAAGACTTTGTTTCATATTTTGCTAATTAAACAAATTAGGGCTAAGCGTAATTTGTATAATATAATACACGTTATGATTAAAAACGGGCTATCACCACTTTTTATTGTTAACTCATTTTTTAGAGGTTGCTGTTCCATAAGAAAGCTCAAACAAGCATCATGAAATACCTCGTTGCAATCGGTAGGTGGCGCTGTTTCTTATAGTGACTTGCTGAATACTCGGAATAGTTATTATTAGCTTTTTTAAATACGTGTAATTTTGAATATAATATGAATTCTGGTGTTTGCTTTTTTTTTGGAATGTAAATGGGGAAGTCAGGATCAGAGATAAAAGTCTATATTCACAAATTTTTTTCAAATTCAACTACTATACAATTAAAAACATTAAATCTCACATTCCTGTTCACTGTCTCTTTCAGCGCTAATATGTTGTGCAGTAGTCATTGCCTTACCACGGGTAAGTTTCTTGTTATTATCTTATCAATTATAATATTTAGATAGGTGGAATAAAACTATTTCTTGTTTTAGCAAGTTAAACTTAGAAAGAGAAAACAGTTTTGTAAAGGTGCCAGAAGTTTCCAGAATAAATTAAAGGTATCATTTAAAATATCCCGAAATACCCGTTCCCGTTTAAAAAAAAAGAATTAAATAAAAAAGTGAATTTTACATGTACACTGATTCCTAACTAACAGATATGCTGACATTGTCTTTCAATGTATTATTATTTCTTAAGCCTTTTTTTATGCGAATATAAATATTCTACTGTAACCGATTGTCCGGAGTTAACAAGTAAACAAAATTGTTATTATACGGCTTCACACATACACGTTATAGCTAATATTAAATCTATATTACTTAGTGACTGTGGTAATAAGAATATTTCCTGATTGTCTAATTCCAATAGGCTAAGCGTGAAGCCTTCAACCTTCCTGATGGGGTTGATTTGGTCGTTGGAACAATCGACACTTCATTCTCCTGTGCTGATAAAAATCAGGGATACTACGCTGACCCTGGCAACGATTGTAAACTTTTCCACGTCTGTATCCCACGGGACTTAGAAGATGGCAAAAGAGATTTCGAACACTATAGTTTCTTCTGTGGTAACCTGACCGTATTCGACCAATTAACGTTCACGTGTACTTACCCTGAGGCCGCTTTGCCTTGTAAACAGGCCAAAGATTACTACTACTTGAATGATAACATAGGTTTGGAAGATGCACTATTTTTGACTGATGTTGAAGCTGGAATTCGCATACCTGCAAAGAAATAGAAAGGGAAGACATTACTATAATTTAGAATAAAGCTTACATGAGTTACTACTGAGTTTAATAATGTTTTATATATATGTATACAACCTCTTCTCAAATGGCTCGTGTTATTTGTTGTGTTTATATTATAAAGTATATATAACTAATCGTTTTATTTTCCACAGTATTCGATAGAATATGTCAGCAGTACCTACTTCTACATTAGCTCTACTTCAGTAACTACTTATACATTAGCTCTACTTCAGTAACTACTTATACATTAGCTCTACTGTTATGAAACTATTGTATTCGGAGCTCTGGTTAAATGGAAGATATAAACAGAACTAAACGAACGTCTTGCATATGTCACCTTGGTGTCTGGTCATGTGATGAGTTCTGTATATATATATACATGTGTATGTATGTGTATTTGATAATAAAGGTATTAACAGTACAATACATATTATAGCAGTTGACTTATTCAGAAAGTACAACAAAGTCGATTAAAACCAGTAGAAAGTTTAACACTGCAAAACGAATTGAAAGCAAAAAACACTAAACTTCGTAGATACATAAATAAAATGATTTTTTCTCTCGAGTTCAAATAAAAATTTTTGAAGGAGTCCTCTCTTCGCAGCTCGGAGGCGTTTAACCCCTTAATCACACACAGCAATTAGAACAAGTGTAATATCGACATACTTCTAGACTCAGGAATGATTGTTTAGTACAAGTATGATATCGACATACTTCTAGACTCAGGAATGATTGTTTAGTACAAGTATGATATCGACATACTTCTAGACTCAGGAATGATTGTTTAGTACAAGTGTAATATCGACATACTTCTAGACTCAGGAATGATTGTTTAGTACAAGTGTGATATCGACATACTTCTAGACTCAGGAATAATTGTTTAGTACAAGTATAATATCGACATACTTCTAGACTCAGGAATGATTGTTTAGTACAAGTGTGATATCGACATACTTCTAAACTCAGGAATGATTGTTTAGTACAAGTGTGAAATCAGCATACTTCTAGACTCAGGAATGATTGTTTAGTACAAGTATGATATCGACATACTTCTAGACTCAGGAATGATTGTTTAGTACAAGTGTGAAATCAGCATACTTCTAGACTCGGGAATGATTGCTTACTACAAGTGTAATATCGACATACTTCTAGACTCAGAAATGATTGTTTAGTACAAGTGTGAAATCAGCATACTTCTAGACTCCGGAATGATTGTTTAGTACAAGTATGATATCGACATACTTCTAGACTCAGGAATGATTGTTTAGCGCAAGTGTAAAATCAGCATACTTCCAGACTCAGGAATGATTATTTGGTACAAGTGTGAAATCAGCATACTTCTAGACTCAGGAATGATTGTTTAGTACAAGTATGAAATCAGCATACTTTTAGACTCAAGAATGATTGTTTAGTACAAGTGTAATATCGACATACTTCTAGACTCAGGAATGATTGTTTAGTACAAGTATGATATCGACATACTTCTAGACTCAGGAATGATTGTTTAGTACAAGTGTAATATCGGCATACTTCTAGACTCAGGAATGATTGTTTAGTACAAGTGTAATATCGGCATACTTCTAGACTCGATAAATTGTTTAGTACAAGTGTGATATCGACATATTTCTATACTCAGGAATGATTATTTAGTACAAGTGTGAAATCAGCATACTTCTAGACTCAGGAATGATTCTTTAGTACAATTGTAATATCGACATACTTCTAGACTCGGGAATGATTGTTTAGTACAAGTGTGATATTGACATATTTCTAGACTCAGGAATGATTGTTTAGTACAAGTGTAATATCGACATACTTCTAGACTCGGGAATGATTGTTTAGTACAAGAGTGATATCGACATGTTTCTAGACTCGGGAATGATTGTTTAGTACAAGGGTGATATCGACATACTTCTAGACTCGGAAATGAGTACTTCATACATACATATTAAGACAATAAGAAAAGTGATTGTAATAAAAAACATTATTTTCACCAGTGACTATGCAGATATGACGCTTATAAACACACTTGTTGTTGTAACTTGGTATGCTTTATTGTCCCTACACTTCCGAAGAAGAGCTTTGTAGGAAACGCAAGACTGGGGCTCTATTCCACGTTGCACGACTTGCTATGATATTGCCTGGTCGTACTCTGAGGTACTGAGTAATCAGCACGGTGTCTATATCTCATTTTGGCTATAGGACCACCTCACGTCTTTACTTTACCACGACTTACCTGTTGTCTTAACATATCTGAATTATATACGACACAGCCAGTAAAGTGCATATATTTGAAGTCGGACAGTATCATTTAACACGATACACTAAACAAAGTGCTATAGTTTGAAGTCGGACAGTATCATTTAACACGACACACCCAGTAAAGTGCATATATTTGAAGTCGGACAGTATCATTTAACACGATACACTAAACAAAGTGCTATAGTTTGAAGTCGGACAGTATCATTTAACACGACACACCAAGTAAGGTGCATCTGTTTGAAGTCGGGCAGTATCATTTAACACGACACACCAAGTAAAGTGCTATAGTTTAAAGTCGGACAGTATCAATTAATATGATACACCAAATAAAGTGCTATAGTTTAAAGTCGGACAGTATCAATTAACTTGACACACTAAGTAAAGTGCTATAGTTTGAAGTCGGACAGTATCAATTAATATGACACACCAAGTAAAGTGCTATAGTTTAAAGTCGGACAGTATCAATTAATTCGACACACTAAGTAAAGTGCTATAGTTTGAAGTCGGACAGTATCATTTAACACGACACACCAAATAAAGTGCATCGTTTGGAAGTCGGACAGTATCATTCAGCCATGTATCATGTTCTTTCACATATAAAAGCAATACAAGATATAAATGGTGGTCACATAAAACACTGTTAAAATGCTGCGTGTGTGAACTAGTGAGAAGTAATTTTGATACTGGAATCGTCTCGTTAATTCATCTCCGAAATAAAGTTCTCGTTGATTATATTTTTGTTATAGGCGTTAGAAAAGACCAACGAACTTTATAATGAGCACACGTTTATGACATTATTCCAGCTACAACACGACTTTTAGTGCTTAATGAATCAAACAGTTCGTAATTAAAATATTTTGTCTTTAATTCAGATAAGTTTCTCTGATAATGAAATAAGACACTTTTACATCAGACAGTGCCTTTCTCTACCAAATTTTGGAATATTCTGACAGTATTTATTTGAAAGCAAAGTCACACTGGCCTGTCTGCTGTGTCCACCGCGAGGAATCGAACCCTGGATTTTAGCATTGTAAGCTCGTAAAATTACCGCTATTCCACCGCAAGCTGTTCGTTTATATCGAAACTAAATACTTGATAAACAATAAAAATCATCATTAACTATTTTAGTGCTTCTAAACACAAACACAGCTACCTGGAAGTTTAGAAGAAGTGTGGACACTAGTAAGTCACAGAGTATAAAATCATACAATTTATAATTTTTTTTCTTCTTGCTCCAGTATGTTTGAATAGTGCAAAATAGAAGAAGAATATTATGTGTAATAGTTCTCCAACAAGGAGTGCTGAATGTTGTCAAACAACAACAAGGGACGCTATATGTTGATAATTGATTTCAAGGGACGCTGAATGTTGATAATCGATGCCAAAGGACGTTTAACGTGGTCAACCAACACCAAGGGACTCTGTATGTTGATAATCGATG